TTTGCATGATAATATGAAATTGTCATTTTGTTGGCCAAAAAGTTCTTGGATATTGGCAGTATTATATGGTTTAACCCAGTATTATCATTAGCTGAGAACTGCACTTGCGTATACTTGTGGAATATTGTGCTAATATGGTGTAGCTTTTGAGAATTTGTTTGCTCTCTTGTTGGATTATCAATAGTCCCAGAAATATTAGCTCATGCATTGAACTCATGGGAACAATAGAAATATTATCATGCATTGAACTCATGGGAACAATTTTATGGTTGTCAATAATTTTCTTGAGTTCCAAACCTGTGCTAGTTTCATATGATTACAAACAAGTGTCTTAACAATATTTGGTGTTAAAGCTGATTATAGTTCTAGAAAGACAGATGACATCAACTTTTTATAATTCAAGAATGCACAAATTTACAGTAGAATGCTGTGAACTTTGATTCTAAAGCCGTTGTTGTCATGGAAACTAAAGTTTTCATAATTTTGAGTAATTACCTTTATCATCTCTATGAGTATAAGCCTCTTAGAACTCTAAGTATAAGCGCGTAATCTTGACTATGATTCAACTTCCTTTCCCTGTACGCATTCATTATTGAGTATAAACTGAAGTGCAAAATTGAGTGAAAATCCAACCAAGATCTAATATATCTATTGTAGATTTTAAGTTTGGAAGCCCTTCAGGTAATCATAATATATTAGGATTAAATGCATAGGACCCAACATTACTTCACCCTAACCTAAACAATTCAACTTAGTCATCAGTTGTCAACGTGACTTCAGTTCCACAAAAGTTGCCTTTAATGGAAAAGTGAATTTTTATTATTGATGAAGTGATTGGTCACATTATATGGCATATACAGAAACAGTTCTAATGAAGGTATTTGTTAAATGATCTAATGGCCTGAATTTATGTTGAAATTGCAGACTCTTAGATCTATGACAGTGCACTTGCCAAGGGCATTCAATTTCCTGTGGGTGGTGACCAAGAGAACTTGTACAAAAATATAAAATAAATTTACAAGAATATTCCAGAAAAAGGACCTCATGGTAGATTCATTCTCATGGTGATTTGACATATTCTCAGTTCCATCTCAAGCTTCTGTTGCAATAATTACAGCTCTGTGATAACTATTTACAACCCACACATTGTCAGGCATACTGTTTATAAGTCTACTTTTGCTTATTTTTCATTTAAATAATTTGTGGCCCTTATCCAAGTGTCTGGGTAATGTCGCACCTCATTATGGACAAGTAAAAGAACAGGCTAAAAAATGATGGTGCTGCCCTAACTGGTTTGGCTTAGTGGATAGAGCGTCGGCCTGCGGACTGAAGGGCCCCAGGTTCGATTCCAGTCAAGGGCATGTACCTTGGTTGTGGGTCTGTAAAAAATCAATAAAATATGTTTAAAAAAATGATGGTGCTGGTCATGAAAGCTATATTAAGTCAATTGTTGGAGGAATTAGCTTGCCTCTAGTCAATAAAATAATTTACTTAGTGGGGTGGAGTCTAAAGATATGCCTTATTTTTTCTCATCTATATCGCCCATGTTTTTACTTCTCTTGCTTCCCCATTGCCTAATACCTTAAGCAATTGATTATCTTTTTGAATAAATAAATGTAAAATATAAAAATATACTTTGGATGCAATTATAATCTAAATCCCAACCCCTCTTCCTTGATTTTTACTGGAAATGTTAGTTTTTCCTGGGAATCATAAGGCTAGAGATCACTGAGCCTGTGCTTGCAAAGTGTGTGTTCCTATCTTAAGATATTTCCAAAGACATTTTTAATTTTTTAAGTGTATCTGTCCTTCTAATTTTTTGTCTGCTCATAATTATTTAATTAAATACCGGTTTCTTGCCAATGATCAATATATTTAATGATAAAACACTGGTGTCATTGAGAAATTTATGTGACAAAAAAACCCCAAAGAAGTTTGTTATCATTTGTATTGAACATTGCTTTAGAAATACTAGGCAATATAATAAGAGATGAAAAGTAATAAAACATAGTTATTGAAAGATGCTGAGATAAAATGTCTTATTTGTTAACTATAAATTTGCTTACTTTGGTAGAAAACAAAACCAATAAAACAAAAGAAATAATAAGAGCAGTGAACTGAAGTAGTATAGAGCAGCGGTTCTCAAGATGTGGTCCCAGGACCATCTCAGATGATTGATGAGCTCAAAGCTATTTTCTTCGTAGTACTAAGATTTTTTTTTGCCTTTCCACTCTGATTATCTCATGAGTTTTCCACAGGCAATGTGTTGCTCTCTCTCAGCATATTGAAAGAAGAAATATATATTAGAATCTGTTTTCTATTAAGCCAGATATTTAAGAGATTTATAAAATTATAGAATAATGCCCCTCTTGTCACTAAATGTTTGTTTTGGAAAACAATTATTTTTCATAAAAGTTGGTTACTTATGTTCATATATAACAGGATTATTGTTCTTTCTTGCATGAATTAATAAAAACATTTCAAGAATTATAAATTCAAACAAATGCAGTAAATATCAACAGTTATAACTACATGTACATAAGCTCATTGATGTCTTCAATAGTTTTTGAGACTGTAAAGTGGTTTTGAGATTTAAAAAATTGAGACCTGCTGGTGCAGAGAATGAGCAAATACTGTAATAACCAGTTATAATTTAAAATGGAAATAATAATATACCTAAGAAGAACCTTACAGACCTATGTGAAGTATATAAAAATACTCTAGTTTAGGATATTAAAGAGGACACAGTAAATGGAGATTCATAGCATGTTCTTTGATGGGAAGTGTTATTATTATACTAGTGTCCATTCTCCTTAATTAATTTATAGATTTCACATATATCCAAACAATGGATTTGGTAAGCCTGTGGAAATGAAAATTTGTATAAAATTTAACTAAAGGGTCCCAAAGTTTGTGCAAGAATAAGAGGTAGTAACTGCAAAAAACATTTTTAAAAGAAGCATAATCAGGTAGACCTGTCTTATCTGATATTAAAGTTACAATATAGAGTCAGATAAGGAAAATCAATTAACTCAAAACTAGTTTCATTATACTGTGAATATTCGTGGATATGTGTATATTTGTGTGCATTGAATATATGATAAAGGAAGTATTAGTGTTCAACATCACTCATCATAAAGGATATATACATAAATGAAATAATTCTTATCAGTTTGGTGAAGATAAAATATTAATATTCGAGGTAATAATATTGCTAAGCATTTATAAATTGTTGGGGAAAGAAATGGTAAATTGTAATAACCATCTTGGATAGCTATACATCAGGTGCTTCAAAATATTCATAATCTTTAATGTGGCAACTTTATTTCTAGAAATCTCTCTCAAGGAATATGCAGAAATGCAAAAGTATTTATACACAAAAATGTTCATGGCACCATTTTTTTATAATAAGACACATGTTAGAATGTCTACATATTGAGAAATGACATTTCCATAACAAATATGGTAATGTCAAGGAAAAACTGCATCTAGAATAATGATTAAAAATAGAAAATACATTTCATATATTTCATAAATCCAATTATGTAAAAAGGGTTACAAAATACCAGGAGAAGATACCTTAATAAATTAATAGTGGTTATCTCTGGATTCTGGATTCTAGAATTATGAATAGTTTTTATTCACAATATACCTTTATAACTTTCTGTATTTTTCTAATTTTTTGCAGTGAACATATGTCACAGTTAATGTAAACAATTATAATTCAATTAACTTTACACCCAACTACTGTAGTTTTAATTTATAGATGAAAATAAATTAGATGAATGAGACTTTATTCTGTGTTTCAGCTCTGGATTACTTGCTTTATCACATTTGACAGTAACTTCTTGGATAGTGCCTCCAAATATTAGTACAATGTAGTGTTTGCCCATTCACCAGTAAACTATATAACCTTAAATAAATCACTTTGCCTCTTAGGTCTTTAATTTTTTTTTTGCCTATCAAATGAAGTTTCCTCTCATTTTAAAATCTGTAAGTCAAGTGATGAAGATTTCTAAGACTATATTTCCAACAGAAATGTCTTATCTGAACAATCTTTATGTTTTTCTTTTACTATACATTTTCTCTTAACACATTCCCCTTATTTTTATTTTACTTATTTTTATTCATTTCAGAGAAGAGGGGAGAGGGGGAGAGAGAGAAAGAAACATCAGTGATGAGAGAGAATCATTGATCGGCTGCCTTGTGCACGCTCCCTACTGGGGATCAAGCTTGATGGGACTGTGACCTTCTGGTGCACAGTCAATGCTCAACCACTGAGCTATGTGGGTCGGGCTCATATTCCCCTCTATGTTTAGTGTTTGTGGAACTCCCCATTCCCTCCCCAACATCTGATGATTGAAGAAGGGCTTAAAATGTCATCATCTGTCTGTCTCTCTGCACCACTCAAGGCAGCATTCTAGATCCTCGTGGTCCATGGATTCTAAGAATCTAAGTATAGATGGACTTACTTAGGGAGTAGTGAATTGTGCTTGCATTTTCCATCTCATCTTAGCCTGTTTTGTTGGACCTCATTGATATATGTTCTCTGTAGCTTCACACTTCCCAGGCTTTGCTACTTATGTTTAACATTCAAAATGATTAGGACTTTGGAAATATTTGTGTTTTTGATGAAGCTATATACATTATTTAAATTGTAGTTTACCATCTGATATTTTAATTCTGTGATGTTTACTAAAAATGTATTGCTACAGTTAGTTGCTAAGGTAAATAGTCACTATATATGTTAATGGATGATATGAATGAATATTGATACAATATGATAAGCTCCCTGCAGATCCATTTACTTACTATCAAATAAAATTGAATTTATTAAATTCTTTAGTATAAAGTTGTAATCTATATTGTATACTTTAAGTGGAAAAGCAAACCTTAGAATTGAAACTCCTTGTCTAATTAGTCATCTGGGGTGGAATAAATGCTGTTTGATGCCTCCATGTGATTCATGTGTACTGATGAATTTCTCTTTAAACTTGCAGCAAATAGTGGCAGCAATAAATGCAGGGATTATACCGTTAGGAAACACCTCCAATCAAATCAGTCACTGGGACTTGGGAAGTTCCTTCTTCTTTGCTGGCACTGTTATTACCACCATAGGTAGGAGACAACTTATTTTGTTTTTTAATTTTGGTACAGCTTGTGAGCTAAAAGTCATTTGTTTGAATTTTTTATTTTTTACAGTTGATCAAAATGGTCTTTGTAAGGTAGAAAACTAGATTTTAGTGAATTAATTTTGGAGAGAAGGTTTAAAGGTTTGAACAAAGGAATGATGGAAATGAATTAGTTATTGTTTCAGAATCCTGAGTTAAATTTACAATACACGTGAAACTCCAGGGCAGTGCAGTTGTCGTTCAACTAATGGGTAGGAACTTCATGCAGTGGCTTGAAATTTTGATGTGCATGCGTGTGTGTGTGTGTGTGTGTGTGTGTGGTGGGGGAGGGCAAATAGTTTTAAATTTTCCTGCATCTTTGATTCTTTGGTTTTAGAAACAAAGGACTGGAGTACAATTTTGACTTTTTAAAATGATTTGATATCAACGTTTTCAATTTATAGATTTTAACTCTACATTTTAACAGGTTATTCCTGTTTTTACATGCATATCTATTTTAACTACTTCAGGGCTTTCTTTTTATACATTGTGTTTCCAATAGTATATATAAATATATATATAAAAGCCTAAGTGACCGGCTGACGGGCCAGTAGCTATGACACGCAATGACCACTGGAGGCAGACACTCAATGCACAGGCATGGAAACATGGGACATACTGATGAATCTCAGAGGAAAGGGGAGGGCGGGGAGGGCAGAACGAGATTAACCAAAGATCTTATATGCATACTAGAGGCCGTGCACCAGTGGATTCCCCTGGCCTGGCCTGCAGGGATTGGGCCAAAACCAGCTCTCCAACATCCCCCAAGGGGTCCTGGATTTCGAGAAGGTGCAGGCAGACGCTCAACACAGAAGCTGCCCCCAGCCCGCAGGCCCCAGACCAGCCAAGGCGGGGCCACCCCCAATCATGCTGGTTGCCCCACAGATTGGCCCTGATTGCCGGCCAGCCTTGGGACCCTACCCATGCATGAATTTCGTGCACCGGGCCTCTAGTATCTATAATAATAAAAACATGATATGCTAATTAGACCAGACAGCCAAACGACCTCCTGCACATCATTCCGGACATCCTTCCAGATGAAGCCGTTGTGGTGGGGGCTGAGGCAGAGGCAGTTAGGGGCGATCAGGCAGGCAGGCAGAGTGGTTAGGGGCGATCAGGTAGGCAGGCAGGCGAGCGGTTAGGAGCCAGCAGTGCCAGAATGTGAGAGGGATATCTGACTGCTGATTTAGGCCTAATCCCTGTGGGATCCCTGCGGGATCAGGCCTAAACCAGCAGTCAGAATTCCCCTGAGGGGTCCCGGATTTCGAGAGGGTGCAGGCCAGGTTGAGGGACCTCCTCCCCCGCATGAATTTCGTGCACCGGGCTTCTAGTATATATATATAATTAACACTGAACTGTGAGGATTACAAAAAAGAATTAAAGTTTAAACCCTTGCTGTTTTGCCTCTTAATCATGTCACCTGTTACAATGATAAAGGGTCACATAGTGGAATGTGAGCTCTTCCTCAGCTTGAGCGTGCATCCTCCCAGCACCTTCTAGGCAGCAGAATGGGTGCGTGTAGATGACTTCTCTTCTGTTAGTCATTCAGTGCCCAAGAAATACCCAGAGGACATAAATGCCAGGCGTGGGGACCAGGAGTTATAGCTGTTTGGTTTAATGGAAAGAGGCGATTTTAAAGCATAGTATTCAAGATAAGGAAGGAAACTGACCCATCACAGTTATGAAGGAATTTTTTTTTAAAATATATTTTATTGATTTTTTACAGAGAGGAAGGGAGAGAGATAGAGAGTTAGAAACATCGATGGGAGAGAAACATCGATCAGCTGCCTCCTGCACATCTCCTACGGGGGACGTGCCCGCAACCCAGGTACATGCCCTTGACCGGAATCGACCCTGGGACCCTTCAGTCCGCAGGCCGACGCTGATTTTTGCCTCCGTCAAGAGGTCAAGGAACTATGTTTACTCTTACTTTTCCATTAGCTAAGTCAAAAGTTGCGTGGCTGTGAAAATCTGGAAGAATGGCAACCTTGATTTCTAACCATAATAACAGGTTAACCTTGGCGCGTAGGCATCTTGGTCATTTCTACTATGGAAATGACTGTTTATTGTGTAAACTACTTAGAGTCTGGAAGGGAAAAAAACTCACCGACTGAGTGAGAATGGTTTGTCTCTGCCCAATGACAACTCAAAAGTCCAAGTTATAACTCATCATGACCACCACTAAATTATCCCACAGGAGACTCGGTCTTTATACAGCCTTCCTGTTGCAGGGTATGTTTATAAACAGTCTCATTTTTTGACTCCCAAATTCAGTAAGTTTTGCAGACATATCCTTCAACACATGAAAAAAATAAGCCATTATTACCAGTCTTCCCCCAAATGATAGCCATTAAGTACAGTAACTGATTATTTAGGTGGTTTAGGCAGCTGCCTGACAGCCCAGATCTCCTACTGTTCTATCTCAGGCTTCAGTCTTAGGTGAGTTAAGTCATTCTAGGTCAACCAGAAATATTTCATGGTCTTTTACTCCCAGGTCATGGCCACCTCCTCTGACCTTGCGCTAGATCAGGGGTGGGGAACGTCTGGCCCACAGGCCGTATGTGGCCCACAAAATAATTTGGTCTGGCCCTGCCAAGGCATTAGAGATAAATTAATTAACTAACCAAATATAGTAGGCTAATTTTTAAACTGATAATTTTGTATGGCCGGCGAATGATGTTATAAATGTCCAAATGGCCCTTGGCAGGAAAAAGGTTCCCCATCCCTGGACTAGATTATCATCTATGGTTCAGTGAACATTTTGGCTTTTGAAAATTTAAAATGTAATTACTCCTTCCCTCCTCCCCCCACCCCCTGGCTCACTCAACCTCTTTTTTTCAGCATGTGTAACTTGAAGCTAATTTGTACTACTGGATATCTGACTGGAGCCACATATATAGAATCTGTATTGTTCTTACTGAAACACAGCATAGAATTAACAAACTTAAATAAAACAATCCTAAATTAAAAATGAAAAAATGCAATTACTAATAATGTTAATGATAATTGTGTGAGCCTTATGTGAACAATCATAGAAATTGTAACCTCTAGCACTAGTTGCATTGTATCAGTTATTTAAAAATAGAACTTGAGCCCTAGCCAGTTTGGCTCAGTGGATAGAACTTCAGCCTGTGGACTGAAGGGTCCAGGGCATATGCCTGGGTTGCAGGCTTGATCCCCAGTAGGGGGCGTGCAGGAGGCAGCCAATCAATGACTCTCATCACTGATGTTTCTATCTTTCTCTCTCCCTTTCTCTTCTGCTCTAAAGTAAAAAAAAAAAAAATCTGTTTTAAAAAATGAAAATAGAACTTGAGACAGTTTTGGAGAATAAATTGCAGTGGATTTTATAAGGTGCCTGGTACAGGTAGTGCTTCAGGGAGCTGCATTGGCTGCAATTGTCCAAGACTTTTCTATTCAATATTATCAATTTGCCTTAGAGGCCAAAGTTACCCTTACTGTTCATTGGAAATATGCCCAAGGGGAGTTCAATTACACAAAATGGAATGTTAAAATTTAAGGACTAATTTTAGAGAATCTCTGCATATGTCTATATACTCTTTCCAAAATCACACCCTTCCAAACCCTTCACAAATTTCATTCCAAAGTTGTATAGACTAAAATCCATTTTTCTGTTCTCTCTCTCTCTCTCTTCTCACTTTCTGACTACCAGCCAATTCTGTCGGCTCTGCCTTTAAAGGAGACCCACCATTTAACTACCGTTTTGGTCCCAGCCGGCATCGTCTCAGTGTCAGGATCCTTGCAGAAAGGAACCTTCTGCTCAGAACCTTCCATGGTTTCCAACTCAGTTGGAGCAAAAACCATCCTTCATTGCCTCTCTCATCACAGATATGCAAGTTCTGTGAGGTTAAGGGATTTGATGTGTTTGAATCTTTTCTGTATTCCCAATGTCTGACACTTAGTGGGTGCCTGATAATTATTTCTGGAATCAAAAACTAGGCATTCTAAGTGGTATGAAGTGTGGCTTACTAGACATGACATAATGCTAAAGTGATACCAATGATACTAAATTCCTAGCTCTTTCAATAGCGTTCATTACTAAATTTTTGTTTGTTCATTTGTTGACTCAACAAATAAGAAAACAACACCACTCTGCTACTGCAGCAATAAAAGATCAATTATTTGAGCTTAAGTTGCCCAAAGACCAGTTGAGGGGCCAAAGTAGCCAATAATCATTTACCCTATAGTGTGTCAGGTATGTTTCAGAACTTTTAATGGAAGTGGGTAGGAGTGACACTTTACAGAGATACTGGGGTAGATGAGGAAAGAGGCAAGGAATACTTTCCTTAAGGAGTGTCCTAGTTGAGACTGGAAAGATAATTAGGAATTTTCCAGGTGAGTAAAGGTGGAAAGGAAACATTTGAGGCGTTGGGAGTTCATGTAGGCTAGATCAGGGGTCAGAGACAGTATGTCCTGTTAGGGAATTGCAAGTTATCTAGAACTGTTGTTTGGCACTGAAGGGATTCATGCTCAGGGCCATGTAAATTAGTAAGTCGGTGTAAGTAGCTCCTGTTGAATCAGTGCTACTTCTGCCTCTGCCAGGGGTGTAAAGAACAGGTCTGCCTGCAGTCCAATGGGCAAGGTAAAATTTGCACGGATGAAATAACTGAAGAAAAACAGAAACAGGTGTATTCACATCGTACATGGAACCATGGTTTAAGTGCTATAAGAATTGAGAAAAAGGAAATATTATGTGGGCTGGAACTGGAAGGAAAGGTTTAACTAGAGAAATTGGATGTGAACTCTGCTTTGAAGAAAAAGTTTTGGTTTCGATTGATGAAGGAGGGGGATAGAGCCTCTGAGTCTGTGAGGTGGCTAAGAGAAAATACAAGGAGAGGAATGAACTTGATTTATTTTGAGCATTAGAAAAGTCAGCATTTGACTAGACCAGAGGAATTATTTAAAGGAATAGTGGGAAATATTATTGAC